GAAATTTAGAGAATTGGTTGGTTTTTGTATCTCCCCTAGGTGGCGAGGAAGGGGAGCAAGAATTTCATTTTTAAAAAGGAATGCTTACAAATAAAAAAAGGAAGTTGTAAATTATAAATACCTGCAAATATTGTAGGAATGAATCTGAAATAAAAAACAATTTTCTATATTAACTATTTTCTATAAGCACTTTATCTATGCTATTGTTACTCTCTTAGAGCGACCCATCTTTTTCTACAGAACTCAATCTGTGTATCATCTGCAAAAAAAAATCAACATAATTGTCAAGCCTGAATACACTGTCCTGAGACTGGGAGAAAATTCAATAGTTGTTGAGAAATTATAAGATGCCAATTTTACAAGACAGACATAATTTCTGAAAATGAAAATGGAATTAGAGATGATTCTCTAAGAAGACCATTCTGCATTGGCTTATTACATATTAATAATACTGTGATAAGAAGGGCATCATAGCTCAGTATTAGATACTGCAAACAGCAGATCTTAGATTTAATTTTGGCATTTCTCTCTTTCTTTCAAACATCCAAGAATAGGTGATAGAGAAGAATTTACACCTTGAGAACTTCACTGAAATCATTCATAATGGTTCTACTCTAGGCACCTCCATTTTCAAGATTTAGGTAGATTGGTTATCTAAGGGCTTTTTCTATTGCCCTAAATCAATTTGATTTTGATTTGGCATGCATGCTGCATATCGGATTTAGAAAAGTCTGGTGTAATTTTAAGCCTCGTAATTATTTTCTTCTTTGATTACTATAATGACTTTGAATTTCAATATAAGCTTCTCTGCAGATCTAATTAAGTCAAATATAAATCTTTTACAATTAGATTTATTTACCACAGAATATTCATCTCAAATTTCTAACTTTTGTTCACAGCTGAAAATTGACAGCTGATCATATGAAATAACTGAAAATCAAGATATTTGAGAATATGAGAGGCCACTGGAAATGTCTATTTATAATTCACACATGAAAGCAAACATTAGATGTTACAGTCATTGTGAGATAATCCTTCATGAATGGGCTTTTTCCTAGAGTTTGCTGAATTGTTTGCATTGACATTCTCAAAATAGAGCAAAAAGTTCCCTCAGTTCCCTAAGTTTGGAAGTGACGTGTGGGATAGGTAGGTCTTCCTTTTTTTCCTATTGTTCAAATATATTGCTGCAAAAAGGGAAAACTTTTCTGTTATCTTTTCCTCCAGTTCTTCCATTGTTACATATCTTTCAATGCTTGTGAGCTGGCTAGTTCTGCTCTATGCAGCAGTCTGCCCCTAGCAAAAGATGAAGTAGGAGATCCATAATTTGTCAACTCCAGTTGCCATCATTCCAATTTATGGGGTTTTATGGGGTTTTTATGTATCACTTTAAGGCAGCGGTTCTCAACCTGTGGGTCATGACCTCTTTGGGGGTCGAACAACTCTTTCACAGGGGTCGCCTAAGACCATCGGAAAACACATATTTCCGATGGTCTTAGGAACCTGTCTCGCTTTCAACTCCCCCTAAAATTCTTCATTCAGGCAGGCTTCCAGAATTCGGCCGGCAGGATGCAGGTAACCCCTCCCCCCCTGTCCTGCCGCCTCCCATGGCACCGTGCCGCTCCGCGTCCCGCGCCTCAAGCCTCCGTGGCACAGAACCGCTCTTTGAGATGGGTTGGGATAATATTGGGGTGAGTGGAACTTAGTTAATATTTCTTAACCTTGCCATTTCTTTGACTCAGTGCTATGCAAAAGGGAACTATTAAAATGATGTCCCTTCTTACCAACTGGACATTCTCTTCTCTTCTCTTCTCTTCTCTTCTCTTCTCTTCTATTCTCTTTCCTATTCTTCGCTTAATTCAATTTGATATGGCTACCACTCCAGAAGCCACCCAGCTTAAAAAATACACAGAGTAAGACAGTTAAAACAGTTCCTTCTAAAGAATGTTTTTTTAAAAAGGGAAAAAAATCTATTCTTTGATATCATTTCACCATGTTCCATGATAGTCTATCCATAAAAATGAATTCACTGGTCACCTAGGCTATCAAACTTTGAGGGAAATAATCATCATTTAAAAAAACAAATATTATTTGTTGGTATTATTGGCTTACCTAGGATTCCAATTATTGTTAGCTAATCTAGAATCACCACTGAAGTTGAGTGTCATTATACTGAACTAGTTATGAAGAAGCTTGCTCCGAGAAGAAGGTGTTCTTTTACAGGAATATCCTTGTGAGTTTCTTAGTTTTGTCTGCCATAATTCATGGTGTTTCTATGTCCCTTGGCGTACAGTCATGCTGGCCATATGACCACAAAAGTGTCTTTGGACAATGCTGGCTCCCTCGGATAAGAATGATGAGCACCTCCCCCTTGAATCAGGCACAACTGGAGAGGGGAAACTTTTATCTTTAACCTTAATTCATGGTGTTAGATATCACTTACAAAGCCATGCATGGTTTGGGGTTTCAATACCTGTGAGACCATCTGCCTGCTCAGTCAGAATGAAGACAGAATATCTGCTCCCTGAAAGACTTTCCTCCTCTGAAGAGCTTTCAGTTTAAAGTAGAAGGGCTCCAACATTCAGGGTCTTCTGAAGACTTGTAAAGATTTTGTGGAGGGTTTTTTATTATTATTTTTTGGAACACTTTTGGAAATGGAATTGTGGTAGAAATCACTGATGCCAGATGGATAGACTGTTGATGTCATAATTTATTTAGTCCTAATCTTATTTTACAGCAACAGCAATAGCAGAACCTCATTGGAATGAAGGGATATACGAATTCTATAAAAAATAAATATCTTCTTTCTAGCATAAATTGGTCTCATACTTGATACTTTTGTTGCTAAAAGTTATGTGTACGTCGTTAGATATTTCTACTTCATTATATGGTTGGTTGAGAGTTCTCATGCATGATGACCATGAGGGGGGAGGGAGGGAGGGAGGAAGGAAGGAAGGAAGAAAGGAAAGGAAGGAAGGAAGGAAGGAAAGAAGGAAGGAAGGAAGGAAGGAAGGAAGGAAGGAAGGAAGGAAGGAAGGAAGGAAGGAAGGAAGGAAGGAAGGAAGGAAGGAAAATATAAAGGAGCAGGTCTACTGGAACCATATTTCTTACCATCAGTTACAGAGAAAATGCTCAATCCTCCAGTCCTTGTCCTTTTGTGCACTCTGACTATAGTTCGCTAGATGCTTACAGGACCTATTTCAATGTGTCTAGTGCACATCAAACAATCTATAATCTATACCTAATGGCCTATCACTACAACAGCAGCTACTGCATGAAATAATTTTTTCTATCTTGTTTTAAATCAATATACTGCGACTCAGCAGATTTTTTTTCATAAAGGATCACTATTTCATGCATGTGTGATGCATTCTCACATTTTACCTGCATACTGCACATTGGAAAAATAAAGGAAATAGTGGTTATAGGTTGTGATTTGCAAAAATAAATTAGCATTACTCTCCGAGGGACTTTCAAATATGTAAAAGGCAAGTCTAAAGATCAGTTCTGTGTATTTAGCTGTATATCAACATGAGAGTATCTGATATTCACAACTTTAATAACTCAGGCTTAAAGTATGCCCTGTATAGTCCGTATTAATCTTGGGTTTCAAAATACTTTGGACATTTTGTTCTGATTGGTTATCCTGATTGCTCTGTATGCTTTAAAATTGGGAACATAGGGTTTATATAGTCAAAGATTGCCTTGAGAATCTAATATATCTGTCTAAATCTGTCCTGGGAGACACAGTTTATTTAATATGCTAAAATGTTTATAAAATGAAGCTGTAAAATACAACACCTGTTCATCTTTCCAGGAGTTCTGTAATGGATAATAAAATGACACACATACTTGTGTACAACATACTGTTGGTAAAAAAAAAAGGAAAGGAAAAAGGGAAAAGACATGCACTGTGAATGAGATGTATTACACCCTATGAATGAGATGTATTTCCGTCTGCTTGGGAACCAAAGTATCATGGTCAAAATAAGAGTAGGCAGCTAAGAGGAGCTAATATAATTTGCATATTTACCAAAAAGTAAAACACACTTTCTTCAGATAGGATTTATCAAGTCTAAGGCATACAGATCTGCACAGGGTTTAAGGAATAGACCTTTGATGGCGAACCTTTTAGAGACCGAGTGCCCAAACTGCAACCCAAAACCCACTTATGCATCGTCGGGTGCTGGGTGGGTGTGGCCCATTGGGTGGGTGTGGCCCATTGGGTGGATGTGGCTGCAGTAGTAACAGCAGACTGGGTGGGACTAAAAAATTCAATCAATCAATTCCAACTTTGCAAGATCTTTTTTTTTTCCCGCGAGAAGTTGAAATTGATTGATTGATTGATTGAACCTTTTTTTTTTTTGTACACAGTGGCAGAGGCCTAAAGTGAAAAGGTTTTATAAAACCCAGCTGAAGGCCTAGGACTAGGGCAACGGCACACGCGCCCACGGAGAGGGCTCTGAGTGCCACCTTGTTGTAAGTCGAGGACTACCAGTACTTTATCACTTTTTTCCTTTTTTGGGGGGTCATCAAGTTTTTGACATCTTGCTAGGTGACTGGTGGTACTCGGATGTTGCCATATCCTAAAAGCAGTACCATGGGTGAAAAGGTTGAAAAGCCCTGATGTACAGCATTGAGTACCTGTGGTTGCTGTGGGCTTCTTCTGATTTCTCATTATCCAGCTCAAGTTCTGGAAATGGCAAATCCCAGGAAGGAAGCTGAATAAGCATACAATGAGAAGGAGTATAATATGCTGTCTATGCTATGCAGTGCAAAGCAAGCAATAGAAAGATGCCAAGCAGAGACATCAAAGTACAAAAAAGGAAATATCAGAATTTTGATAAATGGAGAAGTGAAAGAGATGGATATGTAATATGGTGTGTGTTTTGCACACAAGACACTTGATTGGATGAATATATATATATTTTAAATGTTTTAAATGCTTTGAAATCATGTGATATGATCATGTAGCTTTTTCTTCCTTCTTTTTTCAACTCCAGGAACTTTTTAACCAGTTATGATAAGGAAAGCATTTTCACCATGGACCACTTCCCGCTTTGGTATCGCCGAGCAGCTGAACATCCTCCGGGGAGCTTCATTTATAGCCTTTCTTTTGAAGAGGATTCAGGTACCTACAATGAAATATTGTGCCTTAAAACAGCTGATGCTTAGCTAGTCAGAAGACAGATTTCAGTGGAAGCAAGAATATTTTCAGTCCTTGCTTCACCCAACCAATCAATAGTGGGGCCATTAATTTTCCATGAGTGCAGCTCACAACTGATTTGTGCTGATTGTTTCATAGCCAAAAGAGCGCCACCCCTCTTCAACAAGCAGCTTTCTGCAAATTCAAGAATATGCCAATGCTTGTAGGGATATAAAGGGTTTCTGACTGGAGCACTTGTGGGTTATCTCAAGTCCTCTCCTTGTCTGAAGAGGAATGACAAAGAACCAGTCTACTGACTGACTTTTTATTCTGCTGTGGTTATCAACTCTGCTTTTTTGTTAAACTATCTTCAGTTCACCATTTCTTTCCTCAAAGTCCAAGGAGTGCCCATTTTAGCACACTTGCTTAAATTGCAACTGCCATGACAATGTACAAGGGCAATTCGGAAATAAACCTCCATTTGAGTATGTGCGAGAAATAGACAGGGATAGCGACGCCCGTCCTATGGCGCCATGCACAGTAGTTCAGTAGGCAATGAGGAGTGGAAGGAGAAGGTTGTGTTGCAGTTGACTCGTCTGCTAGATCAATTGAAAATGAACTCTGCCATAGAAAATCCCTCCAAATGTGAAGTGCGTGCAGTAACACGATTCCTGTGTGCGAAAAAAACTTTCGGCAGCTGCGATTCATCGTGAACTGTGTAATGTTTATGGACCAAACATGATGAGTGAAGGTGTCTTACGTCAATGGTGTTGCAGGTTTAAAGATGGATGAACTGACTTGCACGATGAGGCAAGAAGTGGCTGCCCATCTGTAGTCAGCAATGAACTCACACAGGAAATTGACAAAAAGTTCCGTGAAGTCCATCGGTTCACGATATTTGCATTTTCTTTACACTTTCCCCAAATTTCTCGGACTGTTTGGATGAGGTAGTGACAGAAAATTTGGAATACCTCCAGTTTGGTGCTTGTTGGGTACCAAAACTCCTTTCTGAGGAGCACAAAACACACCGAATGGGTTCACAATGCTGTTACAGGGTGGCTTCATTCCCAGGCGAGAGATTTTTTTGCGGAAGGAATCTCAAACCTTGTAAGACGTTATGACAAGTGCCTCAATTTGAATGGCGATTATGTCAAAAAGTAATGTAATGTTGTAGGTTTCTAATTTGTATAATAAAAGTTCTGTATCCGTGAGTGTCTGTCATTGATAATCAAACGGAGGTTTATTTCCGAATTGCCCTCATAGTACTGCATGTTTACTTACAGTGAAAAATGATCTACACAGAATGACTCTGTAAGGCAGCCAAGATTGGTCCAGTGCAAAAATACTCTAAAGATGATTTGTGTCACATGCCTTCATTAATAGCAGAGGCTCAAGCACAGCTCCCTAATCCCAGGAAAACCTCTCAAATCAGATACCCATCCCAATATTAGTCAACATTTAAAAACCTAGCAGCTATACTCAGGGGAGTCCACCTGTTCTGCTGCTCAGGGATTGGATAGACAAACCGCTATCAGATGGCTCAAGCGCACTGTTGGGGGTGGAATGGTAACAAGAAGTTGCATCAAGATTTAGGGCTATCAAATTAGCTTCTAGAGAACGACGGTGGTAGTACAGGGGTCCTCAACCTTGGCAACTTTAAGAGTTGTGGACTTCAACTCCCAGAATTCCTCAGCCAGAAAAGCTGGCTGAAGAATTCTGGGAGTTGAGGTCCACAACTCTTAAAGTTGCCAAAGTTGGAGACCTCTGCCATAGCAAGCAAAAAAGAGGTAGTCTTCTGTGTCTCTTTTCTGCCATCTAGTAGTTGCCCTAATCATTGTGAAGTGAAACTAGATGCTATGCCCTCCACAGCCTGCTTCTGTTTGCTGTTCTTCCTCCACCTTCATGATACCCTAGGGAAATAATTTGGTTCTTATATGAGTGCCTGCCATCCTTGCAGACCATTAATAGATTTGGGTTTTTTAAGATTGATGGCAAGGGGATCCCGTGCTTGCAGACCCCAAGGCAGTGAATGCTTGTGTGTGACTGTACCCAACTGGTGTTTCAGAAATGCATTGAGGGAGGGATGGAGAAGGGGAAGGCCATTCCAGATTTTGTAAAGAGGAACAGCTCACACCAGTCTAGCAACCTGTTGAACTGTGTTTCCCTCAAGGTTGCATATGGAAGAAAACTTCCCCTTCTCCAATCTAGAGCTGATAGTCAGTGTACATCATGGGTGTCAAACTCGATAGCATCATGTGACCTAATGTGATATATCACCAGTGGTGGGATTCAGCCAGTTCGCACCACTTTGGCACAACCGGTAGCTAATTTTTTGTTGCCCAGGCTCAAAACGGACTTCCGGAAGTGGCATCCACACAGAGAAATGGTTGTTCACATATTTGAATCCCACCACTGTGTATCAGAATGTTTTTTTGCCTTTGTGGAACCAGGGTGGGTGTGGCCTGTGGGCTGCCAGTTTGACACCCTTGGTGTACATTATGCAGGATATGTATTAAAAGATAGATCCGTGGGGTAACTCTGAGAATTTTAGATTTTAGACTCTGGAATCTTAGAAAGCCTCCAGCTTATAACAGGTTATGTTTCTAGAGACACTGGATATGGACATTGTTGATAAATAAGAAACTGAAACAGAGTGAGGGCAAAGTTTACAAAGTCTGGTAAATATATGGTGGTTAAAAATGAATCTAAAGGTTTTTTTCTGCTTTCTTTTTCTGCACTCAAGCACCATGATGTTGGTGCATAATGCACTAACTGTGAATCTTTTTTTGGCATTGTGATGGGAAGAAGGGTGGGTGGAGAAGACAACAACAAGGAAGGCAAGATTGAGGAGCAAAGAAGGTGAACTGGAAAATTAAAGCGCATGCAAGATTGAATGAAAATACCTGAACTTTCTCTTGCTCATTAATTTCCTTTCATTTAACTTCAACAGCTATCACTTTATTACTATTTGAACTAGTCAGACCAATACAGCTGGATTCTAGGACTCCTGAGATTGAAAGCTGAAAAACCTTAGGCCTTGAATCAAGGTTTAGTGAAGTACCTCTTCAAGATGGCTTCACAAAGCCACACTACTTTGCAGAGTTGCAGCAAACAGAAGTGACAAAACAAGATTGATGATCTTGTTTCAGACCTGACCTGACACATTCTGCTAGCTTGGAATGCTTCCTCTCTAGTTTTATGCTGGCCAGTTAATTCTGTTAAGTTATATTCCCTTAATATTCTCATTTGGCTGGTATCTTGAAAATTAAAAATTACCAATTCCATCAATTATTGTGGCTCTATTCCTCAGGAAGAAGAGGAAACACTTTTCTTGTCTCTCCATCTCCCTATTGTCCATAATACGGCAGTTTGTGGTTGTCCATAAATTACATAACCTTTTGGCTAGTTATTTTCAACACCCACCCACCTCCTTTAGCACTGAGTGCTAATGATATAAACATCTTTAAAATTAATCTGCCAGCATTCTAATGTATTATTTTGGCAGGCATTTCAGGAAGAAACATTGCTTAGTAATACCAGGATGCTGATGGGAAATGCCCTCATTTGACCTCACCCCATAGGTTATTGTCCACCTCTTTTCTTTCTGTCTTCCTTGTTTCTGTCTACTGCTTTAGATTCTTTTTTCCTTTGTGACCTTGTCAATTTCATTTTCCTCAAATTCCAATAATAATTTTATTTATTTATTTGTATTTATATTTATATCAAATTTAGAAACCTCCCATCTCCGTTACAGAGTTGACTCTGGGCAGTGTACGAGTAAAATATGAAAATATAAAAACTGAATTGTGCCATTGCTGTAACAGGAAAGATACATATGATCTTGGATCTCACCAAGGGTCTACCTTGACTCTCACAGAACATACTACCATATCAGCTAGGATCCAGAGGATAGTAGTATATAGATGAATGCTATCCCAAAGGAAAGTTCTTGAAATAAGGGCCAATGCAATGTATAAAGACTAATGCACTTAGGCCTCTCACAAATCTATTTCCAAGGCTTTATAAAAAAGGCAAAAGAGCTGAAGCTAAAACTGAATGAAGCTGCAAAATTATGTTCAGGACATATTGGGCATTAAAGATCAAGCCAAGAATGTGACAAATGACAAGTGTTGGAACTGTGAAGGAAGAGAAAGAAAATCCCTTCTGTTGCATGGAACATTAAGTAAGCAATATACCGGAAAGAAAGTCAGCAATAAAAGTCAGGAAAAAAATATAATCAGAAATCCTGATCTTTCAGACTTCTAAATAACAAATGGTGAACTAAAGATGGCTCCACTAAAAGTAGAGGTGATGTCCATTGTGGAACGAAGACCTGGCAATGAGTAGACCAGCTCTTTGTAATTCCCCTCTGGACAAAGAGAGAACTTGAGATCACCCACAAGCACTCCATACAATTGTTCCTCACAAGGAAACACAAGATAGCAGTCTCTGGCAAGGTTAGAGCTCTGAGAAACAAGCAAACAGCTATCTAGTTCAAACCATAGTTAGCACCTTTTCAAAAGATATTGGCTTTATATGTTTCCTTTTTAATTAATTTTGGAAATTGTTTGTTAATTGCCTTTCAGCCATTGCAAACCTTTGGATCAACAAGCTTAACAGCACTGCATGAGTTTTCTTCCATCCTTGGCAAAAGAAGTTTTAAATAAAAATTTAAGGACTTTTAAAAAATTATTTTGGAATAAACAGGAAAAGAATGATTAGAAGTTTCATTTTAGGATGTTAGAAATGGACTAAAGGTCCAGATGGATTTGAAATAATATTTTGGAATTAATTATGAGAATCCTTCCCATAGGAAAATGCTTTTATTTAGAATTCTTTTAAAAAAAACCAATATGATGAGACTTGGTTGGACACTGGAGGGAACTAAACATAATTAAAAGAGAAGAATACTTAAATTTGACTTACAAATGCAGAATGCAGAAAAATATCTTAACACTGGATATATTAAAGGATATTTTTGAACAATGGACCCAGAAGTTAATTTTAAGAATGTGGTTCTGTAGATAGACTGTGTTTAAAAGATGTTATGGAGTAGGAACAGATTTTACTGAACAAGACTGAGATTAATCAGAAAGTGGATTTTAAAATGGCAGTCAACAAGAATATCATGGAAAAAGATGCTACACTAGACATATAAATGAAATCGGATGATACCTTAATAATTAAAAGAGATAAACAAATAATAAATCAAAAGAGTGACTTAAATAATTTTCTTACATTGGATTTATAAAAGAGACTTCTTTAGAAAAGAGACTTTGTAAAGCTTTGAGAAATTGTGTGAGAAGAGACAAAAAGAGAAAAGAAATCAAGTTCTAGGATATTATTTGAAGGTTTAATGATCAAGATTGCTAAAAGGAAGGAATATAAAACAGATTTATTTGATCATGTTTAAAATAGATATGTTATTATCTTTATCTACCTCCAGTGGACTTTTGCTGATAAGGATCAAATGGCAGATGAGAAGAAGAGAACATTTGTTATATTTTAAGAAAAGGTGATAGGTTGCTAAAATTGTTCATAATTTTTGTGATGAAAAGTTATTATTTATAATTTTCTTTTTCTTTACTATATTCCTATTTTTTATTTTTTATTTTTCTTTTTTCTACACTATTTTCTATTCTTTTATTTTTTAGTTTGCATTAGTTTTTAGATTTTTAATTGTAATTTTAAAAAAACTACAGTAAAACATAAATACTAATATTCAGAATATCCCCAGCATGGAACAGTTGCACAACACAAGGAAATATAAACAAGTTAGCCTCCTCTGGATTCGAAACCTATGCTGTCCCAGACAGCTGATGTGGAGGTGGACCTATTTTTCAACTATGCTACTTCAGACTATAAGTGGGTTGTAATGTGACTCAATGTGCCTTTGTACAATAACCACAAAAGCTTGCACAAAGGAAGCTAGAAATGATGAAGAATTTTCTCTAATTACGTAGAAGACATTTTATTATATGTTTAGTCACTGCCTGCTCATCTGTCATGAAAAATGAACTACTGGAGTTACAGTAGGGAATATCTATCCTTTAATGAATTGTTAAACTAAAGATGTTGAGACTCTGGAAAGAGTGCAGAAAAGAGCAACAAAGATGATTAGAGGGCTGGAGGCTAAATCATATGAAGAACAGTTGCAGGAATTGGATATGTCTAGTCTAGTGAAAGGAAGGACCGGGGAGACATGATAGCAGTGTTCCAATATTTGAAGGGCTGCCACAAAGAAATGGGAGTCAACCTATTTTCCAAAGCACCAGAAGGCAAGACAAGAAACAATGGATGGAAACTAATCAAGTAGAGAAGCAACCTAGAATTAAGGAGAAATTTCCTAACAATGAGAACAATTAACTAGTGAAACGGCTTGCTTTCAGAAGTTGTGGGCACTCCATCGCTGGAGGCTTTTAAGAAGAGACTGGACAGCCACTTGTCTGGAATGGTATAGAGTCTCCTGCTTGAGCATGGGGTTGGACTAGAAGACCTCAAAGATCCCTTCCAACTTTGTTATTCTGTTATTCTGATGAACCAGTACTTGGTAGACAAAAGTATTCCTTTAAGATGTCACAAGTAGTTGATATGATACCTGTCCTAGTGCAAACCTATTTAAAATCTCAAACCATAATTTCATAATTTTTTAAGTTAACCAACAATTATCTGACTCCTCCTTGGAGAACTGAAGCATAATCCCTCCTCTCCCAAAGCCAGTTAATTCCATCCATACTTTTGGGGAATCAAATGCATTGCAAGCTCAGAGCAAGTCTGGTGCTTTTTGATAAACTAAATATTGGTGGTGGAAGAAATGTTGAAATGGGATATGCAGAGTCCGAAGTCCAGAGTGTCTGGAATCCAAACTTTGATGACAATACAAGAATATCCTGACTATTGCTTAGCTCCATGTGTAAAATCACATAGTTTCTTACACTTCTTTATCAAAAGGAACAGATGGCTGAAAAGCACATGGCGATTCATGCCACTTTACCTTCACTGATAAAGAACAAGCTAGGATACGTGCATTTTGAGAATTTTAGTACCTCTACAGTTAGCAATGCTAACCAGAGGTTTGGATGCATATGCAGATAGAGAAATACAGCTCAGAAGAATGTTGCATGAACATTCTCTAATTGTCCATAGACAATTCCTAAACACCTCTCTTCTAAAGCCTTTAGTTCTTTTGACCAGGAAATAGTGTTATTATTACTAGTTCACACCCACAGTAATTTCCTATTAAAAATATTTAGAGTTCTAGACTAGACTAGAGCTAAAAAAATCCGTACTTTAGCTGGCAAATTATACATCCGTGTGGAAAAACAGTTGTTTGTTAAGCGGATTTTCTCTTTTTCAATGTTATGTCCCTAAAATAAGTCCATCCCCAAATTCAGACATCTGTATTTTTCTCACAAAACACTGATGTTAGTGCTGCTTTATGAATAAGCAAGTAGGACTCTTTAGTTTGATTTGGAAATTCAGACATAATTCTAGCTTTTAACATTAGAGACTTCTATTATATTACTGTAAGTCAGGATGATCAAGGCATCTTTTGTGATGATCAGTAACCCAAAGTGACTTCTTACTTTTTTTTTTTTTAATCTCATACTGGCAGTAGAACAAACCATTTGGTTCAGGCATATCCATGTTTCCCTGTCAAAAACATTCAGAGACATAGCCATCAAACAGAAGAGGTTTCCTGATGCAGGTAGTCCTCAATTTACAACCGGAATTGAGTCCAAAATTTCTGTTGCTAAGCGAGACAGTTATTACATGAGTTTTGCTCCATTTACAAACTTTCTTGCCACAGTTGTTAAGCGAATCACAGCCGTGGTTAAGTTAGTAATGTGGTCGTTAAGTGAATCTGGCCTTCCTGTTGACTTTGCTCATCAGAAGGTCATAAAAGGTGACACGGCAACTGTCATAAATACATGCCAGTTGCCAAGCATTCAAATTTTGATTATGTAATCACGGGGATGCTGCAACAGCAAGTGTAAAACATTGTCATAAATCACTTTGTTTGGTCTTTAAATGAAAAGTTGTAAGTCAAGGACTACTTGTATATTCTTCCTCTCCCCCCCCCCCAAGGATCAGGATTCTTCCCTTTTACCCCATACATTCTTTCCCACACAATACAATCTGATTAATTCTCTCCTATATTCTGAGGAGTTAATGTGGGGATCCTACATCTGCTGCTCTTTATGCCTGTTCTAGTCTTTATACTTGATTTGTGAACAGAATTAACAGGCTGTCAGTTCTGAAAATCTTCCCTTGAGATACAGGATCAGCTTTTGAATTTGCTACTTTTATGTCTTAACAGAGGGAAGTTTGCCTGAGGCAGTGACAGTAAGCACATCTGTGACTGTGACTATTGGTGGGAAGACAGGAATTGCTGCAGGTAGGACTTCTTTCAATGCACTTGAAATTGGGGGATAACATTGGGGAGAGCCTCTACATGTTTTTGTTTGTTTGTCTGAATGTGAATAGTGTCTTCTGGAAATTGGCAGGTCCATCACTTCAATGGGCAAAACATGGAATTATTATATCAGGCAACTACTAGATGGCAGCAAAGAGAGATATAAAATTCTTTCCTGCCATCTAGTGGTCAACTGCAGCATCTTGTGGAAGTCCTAACAAAAACTTCCAACATTTATAGGACAAATCCTTGCTGGTAATACTAGGCCTAAGATTTATGTCATGTGTATCATTGCAGTATCCTTTTTGTGCTCAGCAAATATCACTTCTGTGCTTTACAACTTTTTCATAACTTCATAAAAATAAACACACAGAAAGCAAAAGCACTTCACTTAATTTTCATCCAAAATCAGAGTTCCCCAGGGGCTCAAATGACAATATGGAATAGCCCTCATAGAAATGCTGGGATGCTGCTCTGCATAATAACTGCATCAATGTTTATTTTTGCAGTAACTATTTCCATTCACCCATGTAAAAACTGAAACCTACAAACATTCATCTTATTTTTTGTATACCCCCTTTGATATTTATGAATCAGTGAACTGGCATGAATATTGTTGAAAGAGATAATGCATGCATTTTGAGAGCCTCATTCATGCCCTTTAAAGTGGTTTTATTATAGTTTTATTGTATTGGGGGAAAGGTAGCTGATAATTAGGATTTCCTAATAAAACCAAGCCATGCCACAGCTCAGAAGACAGCAACAATAGAAAAGCAGATGATGTGGAAGGACTGAAGGACGAGGATTAAAAAGAGATTAAATGGAAAAATCATGAAACTTCAGAAGTATCACCCTCTCCCTCCTCCCAAAAATACCCCTAAAAGATACATGCTCAATCATGGGGAAGGTGATATCAATTTATAGCATCCAAACAGAAACATTCATATCAAGCTTGCTACCCATGGAGCCTTAGATGAATTTCTTTGTAAAATCTAAAGCAGCTAGATGAGAGAAGAAAGAAGGCAAGAAGTGAAGACAAGTCTTTGTAGAATCTTGCCTCTTTGCTATGAATTGGAATAGGCAAAACATGAATGATCTCCATTATCTAGATAGAACCTGGGCAAGTGGGAATAGGCAAGAATTCATTGCTATTCTGAGTAGATTTCATTCATTCATTCATTCATTCATTCATTCATTCATTCATTCATTCATTCATCTCAAATTGTATGGCTACTCAACTTGCCACAGTGATTCTGAGCAGCTGGCAACTTATAAAACAATTAAAACAAACAAATAAAGGCCACAATATATACAACCTCAGCTCTATCTCACACACACACACACACACACACACACACACACACACACACACACACACACAAGGTCCCTTCCTTAAATTTGGTTTCCAGCAGTATCAAGAAGTGTGCCTTCTCAAAGCTTTCCCTAACCCAGGGGTCTTCAAACTTGGCCCTTTTATGACTTCTGGACTTCAATTCCCCAGCCAGCAAGCAGGGATTCTGGGAGCTGAAGCCCACACTTTTTAAATTTGCCAAGTTTGAAAAACATGGATACAACAAGACTGGAGCCCATCAAGATAATATGTGGATCTGTGGGAAAGTGCTGTCCTGGGATGCCATGAGTTTTTATTTTCTTGAGTTCTTATTCTATTTTGTCTGGGAATTGTTGCTGTTCTATTCAGTTCTGCTTGGGAATTTTTGCTGTTTTTACTGTTTTGCGAGCCACCCAGGTTTATGATTGCAATATAAGCTTACTGTCTTTTAAAATAAATAAATAATACCTAAATGTCTGCTAATGGCAACATCCACAGCAACAAAAACCACAATATCTCATGGACACAAACTAATCTGCCAATCTCACAACCAGGAATACATCCAAGTCTTTTAGTTTTCTCTGTTGATATTCTGGATTCCTCTCAATAATGTAATTTCTATAATGTAAATTTGAGTATTTATTATTTGAGTTAATTATAGTAATTCTTTTGAGTAAATTATAGCATTTTCCAGCTGAAATCACCTTGGAAGAGTACTCTCTTTATAATAGCCTACATTTTCAAGTGAATTTAGAAAATCCATTCAATATTGTAATCTTCCTAACAGCTTTTGATCCCCAAGTGAACATTAACTGAAACATAATTATTACTTATTACTTAATTAAAACTTTATCTCCAGATGTGTGTCTGTGTGAGAGGGAGGGAGGGAGGGGCATCACTCTGCTCCAGATAATGTGACTGAATGTTCTATCATGTGAATCATTAAACTGAGCTTCTGTATTGGTAAAAGAGGTTGAACTGACATTGCAGCTGCTGAGAGTTTTAGGGTCCCAGTGAAACCACTAGAATCTGTATCTCCTTGACCTGGGTATATGAAGCATATATGATGTCATTTGAGTACTGTGGTTTGCAAGAGAATCTTTGCTTGCTAATTTCAAGCCTGGACAGACCAGTGTGTTTACATGTTCATCCATGTTTACATGTCTACAAGTATACATGGATGTATTACTTGCTTTAAAGAATGCTACAGGTTCCTCCTGGAATCCTGTTGTAATCTGGATCCAAACCTCTCCTCCCAGCACAAAGGATTTCTAGAGTTCAAAACACTGTTTTGCTGATCCCACATCACCAAGGGGTCTTGATTTGCTTGCGTGGTAAATTAAAAACAACCCGTAGAATGAATGACTGCATAAATCAGTGGTTCTCAACCTTTTTAATGCCGCGACCCCAACCGGTCGTAAGTCGAGGACTAAACCGGTCGTAAGTCGAGGACTAAACCGGTCGTAAGTCGAGGACTAAACCGGTTGTAAGTCGAGGACTACCCAGCCGGTCGTAAGCCGAGGACTTTCCCTGCCCGGGAGCGCTGTGCATGCGTGGTTCCGCCCCCTGCGCCAGCCGAGGCGTAGCTGGCAAGCGGCAGAGACGGAGCAGGCCGACCACCAGCTGGCCCAGCCCAAGGGAGGTAAGGCACCCGCCGGAAAAGGGGAAAAAATGGCGGACAAAAAAAATGGCGGACAAAAAAAATGGCGGACAGCCTTGCTTGGCGACCCCCATGAAATGGTCGATTGACCCCAAATGGGGTCCCGACCCACAGGTTGAGAACCACTGGCATAAATAAAGCCTCCTTAAATGAAATCTAGCCACCCTTGCAAGCTGTCCTGGTCATTGCTGTTTTAGGTCAAATGGATTTAAAAATTTGGTGGGACAAGCCTTACTGAAGTGTTTCCATTTTGTAATTTCTTTTCAAAAAATAATTACCGTGAATTGCTGTGGGGGTTTTGCAGTGAGAAGCAGTGGGATTTCCACAGATGGGGGTAAGAGCAGAGAAATTCCTGTTCCTGGCTGTAACAGCTTGTAGCAACTATTCCTTGCTCTACCTTCTGTGTTGGTCTATAGGGAACCATTAACAGTGACATAGCAGCATGGGGTGAAACTGTTAGCTGTCAGTTGCTGTGTGATGATACAGTTGAATTTCAGGAGGGCACAGATGTCAGACAGGCTTAGCCTTGGACCACTCCTGCATTGGGTGAGGATGGAGGATGAGGAGTTCTTTGGAAATAGGTTAACTATTGGGAGTGAGCCTTATCAGTGCAAAGAAAATGAATCAGAAATAATTAGAAATCTTGCTTGCAGCCTTTCTTCCTGCTATCAAACAATATTCTGCATATTCGTTTTTATATATTTTGTATGTCATTTTGACCAGAAAGGAGACTCATCTACAGAAGGTTATTTAGCACCCAGAGATTTTTGCCCTATCTCTTCGCTCCCAAATTATTTGTTATCGTTTTAATTCTAAGCAGAATCAGAGTAGAGAAGGAGGTTGCCATGGCAACTGTTTCCTTAAGCCTTTGGTCTGACTCATTTCAGACAATTACTCTCATGCTCCAGGACGCATAGATGTGATAGAGGAGAAATGTGTGCTGGGCTTTATTTCCTTTTCTTCTTATCCCAGGTATTAACTTCCAAATAGTCATGGAAACATTCCTCCAACATCATAGTTTTGGGGCTGCTGGTACATTGAGACTATGTCTGGTTATGAGTCATACTCCTATGAAGCTGTGAAATATGTCCTGATTATATACAAAGTCTGCTTCCTATGTTTCCATGATATATATATATATATATATATATATATATATATATATATATATATATATATATATATATATATATATATATATATATATATATATATATATATATACACACACACAAATGTGAAAATGTGTAAAGATTCTGCAAACAGTAAAAGATTTTCTAAGTTCCTAATTTAGCCTGACATGATTGAATGTGTAAAAATAACGTCAGGGGTGTAAAGAAATTTATACATAAATATAAGAACATAAGAAAAAAGCAGTGGGGTGTAGTGTTAAATTGTTAGATTAGGACTGGCAAAACGTATGTTCAAATTCACCTCAGACACAGAAACTCTCCAGGTGGCTATTGTCTGGTTATTAATACTCAGTCCAGTTTCTCTCACAGACATGTTTTGGTGGGGGTAAGATAAACATGGATCCTCATGGAAGATGCCTTGGTTTGGTTAAAGGATGGGATATACATCTAATGTTAAAGACACTGAGCTTGTCAGCTGGAAAGCTGACAGCCCAGGTTCGAAACCCAAGTGCTGCACAATGGGGTGAGCTCCCATTCCTGCTCCAGGAAAAGCACACAAATGCAAGTAGATTAATAAGTACCACTTTGGTGGGAAGGTAACAGCGTTCCGTGTGCCTTTTGCATACAGCCATGCTGGCCACATGGCCACAGAAAATGTCTTGGACAACGTTGGCTTCCTCAGCTAAGAAACAGAGATGAGTACTGCACCCTAGAGTCGGACATGACTGGACAGAGAATGCTTTACCTTTTATACATCCAATAAAGTAAAATCATGCCTTTTGGATCAGACAAGAGATCCACCTGATGACTAGATTCAAGTCTACGAACTAATGTTTGCATGGTGGTTAAACAGATTTCT